AAGACCGTGCTTGTTTCTCCTTCGGGTCGGGTGCGTTGAACCACTTCTCCAATTGATCTTCGATCCTATTCAGGCATTAGCTTGCGAAGGACGAATCAATCAAGTTGACTCGCGTGGCATCGTATATTTTTGACACATGCGCCGCTATTTCATCTTGCTGAGTCTGAATGTCCACCAAGCGATTGGCCTGCGCCCAGGACAGTTCATTATAAATGGGGCGACGGAGCAAATCAAATACCTTGAACCGGCTACCAAACAAATCCAGGCTTTTGTCGAGTGTCACTAGCTCGGCGCCAAGTCCCTCACGGTTGAAGATACGTATGAACCACCTGCGACCATCCACCTCTTCGACGACAGTTTTTTGGACTTTCAACAGCAACCTGCGGGTAACCGGACTGTCAACATGAGCAATTTGACAGAGCAGGGCAACCTACTGGACGTATTCTTCCAAATCGGAACGCAGGCGACCGAGTTGATTCAAGCGGCCAGTGTCGTTTAAGCGAAGAATTGGTTCTGCGATGTCACAGGACAAGTCAGCAACCTTCTCCATGAGCCGATCCCGCTTTTCCACATTGTCCTGTACTTCCTGGGAGGACAATAAGGGCCGCACAATATTGCCGATGGATCAATAAGGGCCGCACAATATTGCCGATGGATCACATACTATATACACCTGCGCAAACTCCCTGAGGATCCCTCCTATGGGCTCCATGAATGGAGCGGCTTGGATGAGCTTTCCCGCTTGCTCTACAATATGCAATACTAGCATGAAGTTGGAAGCGACGGGATGCTCTACTCCTAGTAAGGAACAGATATTATTGAGAGTTATGAATGTACCTGTTCGGGATGGTTCTCTTGACGCGACCTGCCGGTTTCTTAAACAGATGTGGTGTGATTATATCGTAAAGCTCACCACCGTCAGTTCAGTCGAGATAGAGTAACTTTTCGAGTCGAAGATGGTATATGCTGTCGCCTCTGCATGAGGGATGCAGAGAAAAGAAGGAGGGGAAAATGTTCATGTACCTGTTGTGGTTTTGGACTTGAAACAATATTGGCGGAGCACAATAGACGGAAATTCCCGTTCCAGCACCTTCTCGTGGCTTCGGAACCTGTGTTGCTTGTACAGCTGGACGAGTAGACAGTCATCCTTTTCAAGCACTCTGAGGAGATTTCAAATCAATGTTCGCTGCCGCTTCGATCCATTGAAAGGCTGTGGTGACACGTACTGTGCTGGGGAAATCACCTCCTCAATGTCACGCTGCGGACGACTGCACTGGGCCACGAGAGATGGTTCAACTTTGCGTTTTGTCGGCAGCATCATCACTGATAGAACGAGCCTCGTCGGATAGGCGCACGAGACCCGAATCGCTTCAAATGAAGAGGTATGTCAGGTCGGTTTAGACGGCACTCACAGGAGACGTGCACGGTGCAGTCCGCGCTGTGGACAGTGGAATGAACGTCATATGTATCTGGCGCGGTAGCATGCACCTTACCTGCAGTTCGTACCATCGGATTGCGGTTGCATCGTGAGGGCAGAGGGCAAGCGCACAAGTGCGGCTGATAGAGAGTGCCGCCCAGGTGAAGGAACCGTGTTGATCGGATCCTGAGAAGCGTACGCCACGTAGCGCATAGCAGTTGAATAAATGCGATATAACTGTGAACCTCTGTTTGAATCTCGAGGAAAACCTAGACGCCCAGATTTTGCAAAAATATCACGAACACTTGTCCAAGAGCCTCCAAGATTTGTGGCGCAACAAATCGAGTCCAAGCGATGCATGTAGAATCAAAGATTAGTAACTAGCCGGCATATAAAGTCGCAGGATTGCTCCACACAGAGCAAACACAGAGTAAAGGTGCTAGGCTGCGAAAAGGATGGAGTTGGGAATACTAGATCTTCCAAGAAAGGATGCATTGAAATTGTGCTGGACCCGCGGCAATTAACTCTAGTTTCGTGTGTACAAACCGGGGTTTGCAGGCTCTAGAGCATCGTTGAGGGGAGAGATCGATTTCGACATGGATGTTCGCTGCAAGAGTGACCGGCTATCACCGTCCCGGATCCGGTGTTTGCACCGATTCTCCCACCCTGCCACAACATGGCCTGGGATCGGACGACGTGGCAGACAAGTCAGGAGAACGGGTGCGCAATGGGCCTCCTCTCTTCCACTCCCCCCACAGCGACACAGAAATGGGCGTTATCATGGCGCGTATGTCCCCGCCCAAGTTTAATCCGGCGCGGGATATTCCAGACTTGTCCGGCAAGGTATGTATGCGACGTGAAGGTTTAAACGATGCTGAGCTGCGAAGGTGATCCTGGTGACGGGCGGAAATACAGGCATGGATATTTTCTGGATAGACGCTGAAGGTATTGTTCATCCATTGTTACAGGCATAGGCTACGAAACCATCAAACAACTGCTGTTGAAAAATGCAAAAGTATACCTCGCTGCGCGATCCCCCGAGAAAGCGGCTGCTGCTATCAAGCAGCTCGAAGAAGAGACCAAGAAAACCGCGATATTTCTCCAGCTGGACCTCGCGGATCTGCCTAGCATACGCAAGTCTGCCGACACCTTTCTGTCGCTGGAGCCGAGACTGGACATTTTGTTCAACAACGGGTGAGTGCGGTTTCGTTCCGATCACAGGGACTGACCTGCCTGCAGAGGCGTCATGAGCGCCCCTGTTGATATGCTTACGGCCCAAAATCTCGACCTGCGTGCGGTTTAATTTTCTCCGCTTATTGCCCTCCGAACCAATCTTTATAGAGTTCGGCACGAACGTGATCGGCCACTTCTTCCTCACGGAGCTCCTTGTAAGCGCTCAATTTCTAGTGTCTCCCTGGTTGATGATCAGTGAGCCCCCAGCTTCCCGCACTGACGAAGTCATACGAAGAGACACAAGTCCCGGCGCGTGTCCTGCACACTTCCTCAGCGGCTCACAAGTCCGCGCCAGGGAGCGGTGTCGAGCTCGCAAGTTTGAAAGGAGGACCAGAGCGCGATGCGTGGATCAAGAAGCAGAATCGCTTCTTTTGTCCTTTGTGCGCACCTATTCTCTTCTTCTTCCTTTTTGTTCCTCAATTTCACCACCTTCCTCACGGTCTTATGCTTTCAGTGCGCTGTACGGCCAGAGCAAGACCGGCAACATTTTTATCTCGAACTACTTCGCCAAGACGCACTCGGATGTGCTCGTCTCGGCTGCTTTGCATCCAGGAACGATCCAGACGGAGCTATCGCGGTGCGCATATAGTTTTAAATCTGGACCATGTTGGTGTGGTTCTTACGCCTGAGTACAGACACACACCTAGCGTGGCGCAACTCTTCATCAATACAATCGCGTTCCCTACTCCGTACGCATCCTGGCTTCTATCATTCATTTCTAACTGCTGAAGAACTAATTCCTCATCTTGGTATACAGTCTAGGCGCGTACACGCAGCTCTGGGGCGCGACGGCTGCTACCCCCGCGCAGATCACTGGCCAGGTATGGGGTGTGGTCCCAGCTTCAGCAGAGAAATAACTGACGTGTGTGCGACAGTATCTGCTTCCGTGGGGCAAAGTCGGCCAGTCGGACAAGCGCGCGGCGAATGTGAAGCTGGAGGCCGAGGTTATCGTGTTTATCAAAGAACAGATCCAGGGATTTTAGTTTTTGTTTGGGGAGGCGAGAATCATAACTTCTGTAGGGACAATGTCGATTTGGCCGAACTGTATTGGATTCAACCCCAGCTTTAAGGAAACGTATACAGTCTTTGGTGACCGTCTGGATCTCTTCTTGGATCTTGCTGAGAGATCTTGCTGGGAGGTTTCTCTTTGCTCAGATGATAAAATTCTTCCTCCTCCTGAATCTTGGGTCGCGGCATTTTTATTCGAACCTTCAAAGTCAGCTACTGAACAGCCTATCTTATTATGCCCGAAGTCACTTGACATCATGTTCGAATCCCGATTCCCCAGCTCTGCCGACAGCGACGTTTTATTCTCTGCCATCGCTGCGAATGGCTCACACTCGACTTTGACTTCGCTGCAGGTGGAAGATGAGTTCGCATGGTTTCGCGGCCGTATTTCAACCGCTATGGTCGGCCTACGACGGCTATGTCGTGGGAAACAGAACATTGCGACGGCTCTTTCCTTTCACCAACCTCACGACCGTCATATTGAAACCGTATTCCGGGTTCGACCTCGACGACGCATTGGTGTCAGAGATGGCACGCGCATGGTCTCGCCTTCGCGGAGGACCCGCACGTCGGGGCCGTCCGAACCTGCGTAACATTTGTCATTGGCTGGTCTCTGCACGATCACTGCTCATTGTCTGGAGGCCTCGGAGGTTCCGTCGCTTCCTGACATTGTTCCCCAGTCCATGCCGACAGCATTGGACGTACTTTGTTCTCCCATCTCGTCCCCAACCGCTTCCTCTCCCATGTCCTGACTCCTGAACCCTGTAATTGCGCGGTTGCGGTGGCGAGAGGTCCAGCTTTTCTCTTGCCGAGTTCAGTGGTTCGGGAATCCTGAAAAAGCTCAGAGAGAAATCAAAATCTTGAGCATCTCCTCCACTCAATGATCCTTCTTTTTTTGCCAAAGGAAGAAGTAGTACTTACAATCCGGAACTGTCCGAGGGCCCTGAGGAATTGTTTGCTCTGAGCGGGTCCTTTTGACTTTTTGAGAATGTTCTGCCTGTGAAGCATGTGAAGTGCTCGAATTTAGCCCATTTCGATGCGTTCTTCTGAGTCGGCGATTAGGAAATCCAATCTGGCAACCACTACCGGCCATTATGTAAGATAGCAACCGAATGGGGTAATAGTCCTGCCCTCGGTCGATGTGCACACCCTTGAGGTTCTAGCTGGCAAATGGCAAAATTCAGTGTTGCCTGACACTCCTTGACATGTAACGCTTTATGACCAGGCTGCCAACCCGACATAAAAGGCCACATGATGATGACCGGGATAAGTAATCGATAATCAAATGTCTGGGCAGTCGAGGAGGGGATGGATGACTATCAGCAGGCCCGCTAGCAAAAGATGATTCGACCCAGGTTCGAACTGAGGACCGCCTGTGAACACGCCGGAGCTATGTTAGACAGAAGTGATAAACCAACTACACCATCGAACCGTGAGAGCCGATGTAATTCCAGTCAATAGGTCTGATCCGGGGCGTGTGTTGATATGTTAGCATGCCAGGGGCCACAGCGGACCTTCAAACTTGAAGCCGAACGAAGAATCCATCTTGCGAATTGCCTGCCTACTTACAAGATTTGGCTCGGAGAATGTTGTCAAGACGGATCAAAACGGGACACGAACCCCGATCAAATTTTCTCGCCCGGACATTGCTTGGCTGAAAGGTTGGCAAAGATTATTTGCCCGGGCGGACGATGCCACTGTTACAATCAAAACCTGACCACAAGTTTTTCTGTCCGGGCATTGCTTGGGTGAAAGGTTAGCGGAGCTCATTTTTCGGCAGACGATGTTGTCTGCGGTTATCCCAGAAATAATTGGTGATAACCAACTACACCATCGAACCGATGGACGCAGGCGTTTCCTGAAGGACTACTACGAGATGGGGAAGGAAGGTAGAGTGTGCGGCAATCTAGCTGTCCCGGTGTGCATTTGACTATACCCTGTCCTCTTGAAAAATCTATTCCGCAGCCCATGTTCGTACAGAAAATTCATCATCCGACTGGTAGAGAAGGCGGACAGAAGGCCAGATAAATCAAGAGAGATATAAACATTCCTCCAAGTTTCCCTTTCTACTGCATCAGTATCACACCGACATCGAGAAATGGATATCAATATCAGGCTCCTAATCGTGTGTAATGAAGTTCTTTAGCGTAGAATTGGTAGCCTCCAATGCCAATATGAACGCCCGAGCCACAACAGTGGCGCCCGCAGGCGATGTGTGAGTGTGATCGATGGGATAGTAGGAATCCACCACTGTTGCGCCTGCCTTCTGGAACAGCGCAGCCGTGTACAGCCCGTGATCCACGAACGTCGCGCCTGTGGCGGTAGCCGCGTCCTGGCAGTACGTGACAAAACGGTTTGCGGCGTAGGTGAACGTGCCGGTCTCCCAGGGGTTGTCGGGCGTCGCAGTCGAAATGATGACACTGGCGCCTTTGCCTTGGAACAGTTTCGCAGCGTTAACGAGGTAGGCTTCGTAGGTGAGCACCGTTTCTGTGACGCCGCTGCAAGAACGGGCCAACTCAATATGGAATAAATTAACACGGAGAAGACGCACTCGAATACACTGGTGCACGTCGTCGCATAACCAGCAGCGCCCACCGCACAGTCCGTCCGTCCGTTATCGGTCGGGGTCAGGCTGCCCCCGTCGTTGTGTCCAAACTCAATCACGACATAGTCTCCCGCCTTGACATTGGCAGCCATCGCAGTGAAGCGGCCCTCGCGCGTAAAGCTGCGTGCAGATCTGCCGGCGATGGCATTATTGACAACAGTGAGGCTCTCGTAGTCCGGAAGGAATTTTCCCCATCCTATGGCAGGGTATCAGTGCAGCACAGTGGTGATAAAAGATGCAATTACCTGCGGTCCCATCGTTGTTTCCATTCGGCGTCATCGTGGAGTCCCCAGCAAGGTAAACCGTAGCAGCGGACGCTGCTTTCAGAGCGGTCAAGGCCAGAGAGAGGTGTTGAGCGAGGTGGAAACGCATGACGGTGCCAGAAGATGCCATGCGACAAGGTACGCTCCCTTATATGCAGAATTATCCGAACATTGGGGCCGAGTTTATCCCGAGACGGGGCGGGGTTTCTAGGTGGACCTGGACGATAATTTTCGATCGGAGGTAGTCGTGGAGGAGGTGGTCGCAGACGTGATAGCAGCACACGTAGCAAGTTGAGGAGCTGGAGTTGTTTTACAAAGACAATACCCCCCTCTGCCATCCTATCAGTACGGTGCACAACGCCATGCAGGAAGGTCATTAACACCGGCAACCGAGTGGGAACTTGGTGGAAACAGCACGAGACCGAGCAGTGGCAAGTGACTGATCAGCAGAAAGTACGTCGGGCCGAAGTTTCAGACAGCGGGTCGACCAATTGCACCAGCTGCGTTGTGAGGGAAAGGTAAACGAGAGAGAACTTCTGACTCCGTCATCGTGCTTGGCACGAGAGCGAAGAAAGACACTGAATCCGTGAAAAACCGAGACTCCCCCGATCCAGGTCGCAGATGGGGAGGACATGGAACGATGGTGGCAGATGAATGACGTGGCCGGAAAAGCGACCGGCCCGCGTGATCCGCTACTTGCGTTGGTTGGAAAAATCTAACATTTCCCCGAGATCCCCACGTACTGGAGTAAAGAATTTGCCGGCATCAGTGCCGAGTTGAAAATTCGTTCAAGGACCGTACATAGCTCAGCAGCAAAAGATCGATTTCCACTGCAGAGTACAAAAGGGTATCACTCGTTCTCATCTCCTCTCGTCCTGCACAGCAGGCATTGCTCATCTGTTCAAACACAAAAACGCGTGAACTGTTAAGGAAATCAGGATATAGAGTCGACGTCGGGCAAATGGTGAGGTGCTTACAAGTTCAGTTGAATGTCTCCGCGCAGAAAACCTCGGTTGAGACGACAACGCCGTCGTCCGTGGCCTGGGAGCATACTGCGATGATTGACCATTCAGCATCGTTGCACAAAGCCAGAAAAGGGGGTGGACGTACTGCCGTTGATCGTGCCAATCTGCGGAGTGCTGAAGGAGCAGGCAGCGCCGAGGGCTTTGCCGTTGCATGCGGCGGTGATGATGTTCCCCCTCGACTCGAGAACGGGAGCAGCGAGGGCGGAGACAAAGAAAAGAGCGAGAGCTAAGGTGAATTGCATGTTTGAATAAACGAGGAGAGGTGGGTTGAAAAGAATGAGAGTGAGGATATGCGACCGGGCTATGAGTTAGAACAAGGCTACATCGTCCGCTCCTTATACTGTTTGACGTAGATGACCAATCAGCTGCGGAGGACGGGATTTTCCCATCCATGTGGAGAAGGTTGCGACGTAAGATCGTGGAACTCCTGTTACCATTGACGACGTTCAAAATTTGAGGTAAAAGACAACGGATTTTGTTCCAACTAGCGCAGCAGATGCGCCACGCAGATGGGCGAGGTGATCCCACACAATCTCTACGACAGGATTCAAGCAGTAACCAAACCCGAATTTCTAGCATCAAACAACGCATCACGATTGTGGATGCACGTGGATGTCTTGTTTCGGTATGCGCGGGATACGCAGATGATCGGTGCAAGGCAATCGCCTGATCACCGTCCGGGTTGATGTGCCCGTGTTCTAATTTGAGACTCACATCTTGCAGTGTCCGAGTGTGACGCGATCCACAGTCTTATCCGTCTTGGTAGTTCTCTTCTGTCCGGACAGCGGGTTGATGTGCCCGTGTTCTAATTTGAGACTCACTTTTGCAGTGCCCGGGTGCGACGCGATCCACAGTTTTATCCGTCTTCGTAGTTCTCTTCTGTCCGGACGCATTGGAGCGCATACTACCTGGGAATGTTCCAGGACCACTTCTTTTGACAATTTCCCGAGATGGGAAGTCAAAGTCATTTCAATGCTGCACTAAGTTCAGCTGCGAGGGAAGTTCCCAAGTGATTCAACCTTCCAGCATATTTCAATTGAAAATCAGCGGTAATGCGCTGATGTTTAGAGACGTGGATATGCCCACGGACGGCGAAGGATACTCCAGAGGAGATCATAGGGTATGTGAGAGGGTTCGCTCGGAAGAAGTGTTGGAACATTGGTACACCGTTTTTCGCAGTATCATCACAGTGCTGCGGCTTCAACACAGCTAATATTAAAGTTACCGACCTTCTTTTTGGACTCGTATTCATGATTCAGACGATCAGGACGAGTGTTTATCATGGCGGAGTCCAGGACACACACCGCCGCACGGACCGTATCGTGCGGTGGTATTGACAGTCAACGAGTATCTTCTCTAGCGCGGCGAGGTATTGAGCGCTTCGGTGTTGATAGGGCTTCCAGCATTTTTTCCGACACTTCCTTGAACGCGTGCTTAACCTAGTCTCCCTAGTCAGACCTAATTTTACTATTATTTGGAGGCGAGTGACGTTGTGGACCGGTCTATCGACCGCACACGACCCGTCTGCGCCACGCGAAGAAGACGATGGGATACTTCAGCGGATCAGACTGGGGTATTTTTTTTTGCGGAGACCAAGCACAAGAATGGGAGTTTTCGCAAGGGGTCCGAGTCTGGAAATCTTCGCCGGGGGGTTTCAAAGTGTACAACTCGAAGTTCCATCCCGATTCCGTCCACGATATGGATGCGCCATGAGAGGGATCCACAGAGCAAACAATCAAGGCCGGAGTGGTGCTGCCAGAATGCTTGCGCGAGGCAAGGGGGAAAGTTTTGAATGGATGCAGGCCGCGACTACGACATGAGTGTACAAGGCAAAAGGCGTTTCCGCCGAGTGACGGGATCGGTGATGCGATCATGGGGCGGCGATGTAACCACACAAAGTGACGTCGTGACATCCGCCTTTTGTTTTCACTCCACGTCGCACGACCATGCATCGCTGTCTCAGGATCCTAGAAATCCTCAACGCTATATGCTCCCACCTGGAGATTGATTTACTGGGATACCCATGGGTGTCGAAAGACAATCAAGCTGCACTCTCTGCCTTTGCGAGAACATGCTCAATTTTCAGTGGCCCAGCCCTGGACGCGCTTTGGAATACCCAAGCCAAACTAGCCCGTTTCTGCGGCTTTTCCCGCCAGACTTGTTTAGCATGTCAACCACTGGGAGCGCCGCTTGTTCCCAAGTGGGTGAGTACTGACCATTCCGCCTTTGCTTTTGTATCTTGATGATGCTCCACCTTAGAGTATTCTCCGGCCCATAATGCAGACAGATTGGAACCGAATTTCCGTTTACTCTTCAAGAGTGAAGGTACTTTCAATGTCAACGCCCCCTCCAGGAATTGTGGACGTTGTGTATGCCCTCAGCCTATCGTGTCCAGGCGGCTTTCTCTTTCCCAATCTCCGAACATTCAAATGGCCGGGACTGATACGGGGCTTCTTACCCCTTCGAATATTCTTTCCCTCCACGCTGCAGTCGATTTCCGTCCATTGCCACGCCTCCAGCACCAATATTTCCCTCCTTT